TTTGTTTGTTTTTCTTGTTTTTTGAATGTCCAGAGGACCAGATTGAACTTATTTTGGATTTATCCAGAACAATAAATCTCACGTAGAGGTAAAATATATCGGTGTTAGTAACGTTATCTTTGTCGTCCTCAATGAAATGCAATGTCTGTCTGAAATCTTTACTTCTCTACAAAGAAACTAAACTGATGAGGTCAACACTAATCAGACCTTCACCTGCGTGACTCTTTGAACAAAGAACAGAGTTTCTGTGTTTAATTGATATTTCTGTAACACTTGATAACTTCATGGTGAATAGTGGAGGACAGAAGATGTGAACGCACGTTAGGACGACTGTTGCAAGACCTAAAGAGTTAAAACTGGTTTAAAAGTAGAAGTTTAGATTCTTGGGGGTGGACAAAGCTCAAACATTTTCAGCCTATTTATTGATTATCGGTGGTCACCTTCCAATATCAATATCAGTGATAGCCAAAGTTTCCATATGGGTCAGGCTCTAGTCTGAGTTGTGAGCTGATACCAAGATGGATCTGTCCTCTATTTTACAGAGGACGTGGTGTCTGTGGAACTTCAAATTTGGACCCGTCTGACCTCAGAACAGTTCTGGACTCACCTCAGTCCATTTGAAATGAGCTGTGGTCCAGACGGCAGCGGTTCTGGGCTGTGTTCACGTCTGGCTTCTTTGCCTGATAAAGCTTTAAGCAGCCTCTGTCGATAAACTGTTTACAGAAGATGATCTGTGGAAGAGGTCCTGAGCCCAGAACCAGACCTGGTCTTAATGCAGCGAGGTCCAGAACAGACCTAGACCTGGTTTTAATTCAGTGGCCCCTGAAAGCCTCGTCCTGTGAACTCAGATTTCTACAGATTTTTCTAATCTGTGGATCAGATTATGAACTGGAGATGATGGAGGTTAAAGTCTTGATTCAAGAACTTTATTCTGAAAGAGTTCAGTAGTTTTAGACAAACAGCTGAACCTGTGCCCATCGTTACTTCTGACAGCTTCAGTCTGCAGTAACACCATCAGCAGAGGTGCAGTCTTAGGAGGACAGCACATGTATGAGGACAGCAGGACATGTATGAGGACAGCAGGACATGTA